ACTTATGCTAAAGGAAAAGAAAAGTATCTGAGATTCCAATTGGCCTGGCATAACTACAGTAGCATTTTCTTATTGCCAAATGATATTCCCATTGAAACTGTGGTGCAATTACCTTATTACCAACAGATGAAATGACCCGTATTGAGGCTCAGTGGATGACCTTTTGTCAAGCTAGTCAGACTTCTGACCTCTGCAATAAATTGATGATTATTCTCTCTTCTTCTCTGTACACATGTCTACTAAGTCACAGCACATTAACATGCAGTGTTCCTCATGCTCCTGTCTCACAGCAAACCAAGGATGGTGATGATGTCTATTACCACTTTGGTGGAGCAGCAATATGTGAGATGCTTCACTTGAGATATAGGACACTTAAAACTACTTGCCAAACTCATAAAAGGGAACAAATTGCTATGGAAATAGACATTCTCCAAGCAATAAACACAAATGAAAAGTCAGCCATGCCTGTCTATTTTCAGTACCAAGACAAAGGAAATATGTATGTCACACACTCTGATTTCATTCCTTTTTTTCAAAATGTGGATGATGTTGTGAAGAGTGTTATATCACAAAATGGATTAGAGGAACATGGAGATGAGATTGTTAAGGTGAGTTACTACATGTATAAAGTCATGCGTGTCTAGCTACATGTTAATTATAATAGATGGCTCATTCCTTGCTTACAAGGACAACTACAAAAGGAAACTTTTAGTAAACTATTGAAAAAGCAGTTACTGTCAAAGTCTAAAATTCTAGGAGATGCTGAGGACATTGTGTATAGTGATCTCATTCGAAATTTGTGCAATACTAGAATAGACCCATTTCATGCTAATTTTATTCATGACAGTACCTTATTACTATCTACCTTATTGCTATCTAGTGAAAAAATTTGGAAATTTTATAAGTCGGCCATTGTAGAGGCATAAATGCCATCTCATTGCTGTGCAGTTGGTTGTTCTGAGGTACAAGGGCACTGTGACAAGAAGTTTTTTAGAATTCCAGCTGATGTGAAGCAAAGGAAACTATAGATTAAGGCTATCAGAAGGAAAAATTGGAAGCCAAATGGGTATACTAGACTGTGCAGTAAACACTTTGTGATTGGTAAGTCATGAAAATTAAAAGTAATGTTCTTCATGATAAGTATTGGTATTAGGTTACTACTCTCAAGATCCCACCAACGTTGATTATGTACCAACAATGTTTTCTTTTAATACTAGGAAGGACACAGCCAACGTGAGCTGAGAGCTCAAGCACGGTCTGCTAATAAGGGAATGAGTATATCACATGTTGAAGCACCTCAACACAGGAAAAAAATTTTGAAGATAGTACTGAAATGATGGATAAAAGTGTCAATTACGATGAGGATGATACAGTTAGCATGGTTACGAATGACAATTTATCTGTGTAGATGATGGCATTTGTTCTAATCCTGAAGTTGAGTTATCAGAAGTGGAAAGCAGTAGCAGTCCTGCTATTTTGCCAACATATGAAAGCAATGAAGAAACGATGCCATTAAATTTCCCTGAACAATTAAGCAAAAGCAGCGATGATGGCCTGTTCAAGAATGATCAATTTGGAATGAGTGCTGCTGGCAGTATGTTTGGAGATGAAAGTGACATGGTGGCAGATAGCATGCTGTTGAATGATTGTCATGTTGCTGATATGGATCAGGTATCTGAATTAGTGACTGAGTATGAGTATGAAATTGGTGAGCTTCAAGTCAAAAATGAAACTTTGAACGACAAGGTAAAAGGCCTTGAGGAAGAAGAAGCATTGGTCCTTCGTGCTGAGTTAGATGCAGTTAAGAGTGATTTAGAGCAATAGCAAAAATTGAACTCTTTTAGTAAAATGGCAACTCTGAAATCTGATAGAGCAATATCATTTCTTCGTACTTTACGGTTTGGAGCCAATTCAATTGAGTCAGACAATAGTAAGACATGTTTCTATACTGGATTACCTTTCTATGCACTATTCAAGAAACTGTTTGATATCTTGGTACCATTTGTAAATAAGGATACAACATCAAAGTTGCCTCTTATCGCCAATGTCTTTGGTACACTAGCCAAGCTTAGTTTAGGACTTCTTAACAAAAATATTGCATACTGTTTGAATATATCAGAAGCTAAATTTTCTACAATATTTCATTGTTGGCTAGATTGTATGTATGCAGAGTGAAAGCAATTAATCATCTGGCCAGATTGAGATGTAATTCATGAAAACCTACCACAGTGTTTTAAGAAACATGCTGCTGCTGTTTGTATAGCTGATTGTATCAAAATTTTTATCCAACAACCAGTATCTCTCTCTGCTCAGGCGGCGACATACAGTAATTATAAAAAACATAATACTGTGAAAGTTTTAATTGCAGCCACTCCTACAGGTTTGATATGCTTTTTGTCAAAGGCGTGGGGAGCCAAAGTATCAGATAAGGTCATAACTCAGCAGTCTGGTTTTTTAAAACACATATGGTATGGTGACGTTGTGCTAGCTGATCGTGGATTTAATGTGTCAGAAGACCTTGCTGTGCTTGGAACATGTTTAAAAATTTCAGCTTTTACAAAAGGCAAGAAACAGCTAACACAGAAAGAAGTGGAAACAAGACAACTAGCTTGGTCGTGCATACACATAGAAAGAGTAATTGGTCAGTTAAGAAATATAAAATTTTGAGTTCTGCTCTTCCAAAATTTTTGCTGAAACGACCTAGTGACACCAAAATTACTACTGTTGATAAAGTATTGACTGTCTGTGCTGCACTACCCAACCTTTCTGAACCAGTTTTGCACTAATGCATTACCCCTACACCTAAACCAATCCTCTATCTCTAACTTACTCTAACACATCTATTCTTATTGATTATTGATTTGTTATAAATAAATGTTATCATAAAAATCTATTATAGTACAATAATAATTAATTTTTATAATGAAGCCACAAATCAATAATATTAATCATCTTTTGCCATGCACTCTTTACAGAACCATTCGCCATGAGGAATAGTGCTTATATCCACACAGTCAAAGTGAAACCACTTGTATTGACAATTTTTCCCATCACATAAAATCATCGATCCATATTCTGGCTCTCAGCAAAACCCAGGAAAAAAAATCTTACGTAAGATCTTACTTAAGATCTTATGAAACCTTAAAATGATCATGCATGATTAATCATGCCTGTTCTTGCCAGATTATTAGACAAGAAGTTCCAAATTCTTGCCAAGATTTTATAATAAATCTCGTCAAGATCTTATGATAAATCTTACATGATCAGACATGATCAGACGATTAATCTTATGCTATCAATCAAGATCAGGAACTAAATCTTACATTATCAGTCAAGATCAGGAACTAAATCTTGTATGATCTTTCAAGATCAAGCAATAAATCTTACATTATCTTGACTTATCAGTCAAGATTAAGAACTCAATCTTGCATAGTCTTTCAAGATCAGGAATTAAATCTTACATTATCAGTCAAAATCAGGAACTAAATCTTGTATGATCTTTCAAGATCAGGCAATAAATCTTATATTATCAGTCAAGATCAGGTATAAGTCTTGTATGATCTTTCAAGATCAGGCAATAAATCTTACATTATCTTGACTTATCAGTCAAGATTAAGAACTAAATCTTGCATAGTCTTTCAAGATCAGGAACTAAATCTTATATTATCAGTTAAGATCAGGTATAAATCTTGTATGATCTTTCAAGATCTTAAAAAGTTCAGTTATGATTTATTAAATGGGATTTTGTCACATCCCTTATAATTAAAATGACTGATCTGATCAAGATCATACAATGCATTAATGCATACTATAATGTTGTGTGATAATATGGTGACTTAATTAACTTTAATGTTGTTAGAAGTTGGCTTTCTTTATATGCTCATACTTTTGTAAAGGCTATCGTGGGTTGTCAACTACTTCCTGTTACGTCATGCGACTTGTAAGATCTTTCAAGATCTTGCATGGCTTATTATGATGTGATATTGTAAGATAATTCATGTAAGATCTTAAGTAAGATTCAGCCTAAAAATCTTATCAGTGATATTGTAAGATAATTCATGTAAGATCTTAAGTAAGATCCGGCCTGTAAATCTTATCAGTGATATTGTAAGATAATTCATGTAAGATCTTAAGTAAGATCCGGCCTACAAATCTTATCAGGGATATTGTAAGATAATTCATGTAAGATCTTAAGTAAGATCCGGCCTGTAAATCTTATCAGTGATATTGTAAGATAATTCATGTAAGATCTTAAGTAACATCCAGCCTGTAAATCTTATCAGTGATATTGTGAGTAATTCATGTAAGATCTTAAGTAAGATCCGGCCTATAAATCTTATCAGGGATATTGTAAGATAATTCATGTAAGATCTTAAGTAAGATCCGGCCTGTAAATCTTATCAGGGATATTGTAAGATAATTCATGTAAGTTTTTAACTAAGATCCGGCCTGTAAATCTTATCAGGGATATTGCAAGATGATTCATGTAAAATCTTAAGTAAGATCCAGCCTGTAAACCTTATCAGGGATATTGTAAGATAATTCATGTAAGATCTTAAGTAAGATCCAGCCTATAAATCTTATCAGTGATATTATAAGATAATTCTTGTAAGATCTTAAGTAAGACTATGCCTGTATATGATAGCTAAGATTGATCAGACTAAATCCAAATAAGATCTTATACGATTGTTCTTAACTCTTATCTCACCTTATCTCACCTTATCTCATCTGATCAGATTATTCAAGATCTTAGTAAGATTTTTTTCCTGGGAAGCAATAAACTGCTTCATCTTTATTACTGGCAACATTGCCACATGACACTGTAGGATTGTGTGTTTTAAGGCGGATTTACAATATTACGCTAGTCCTGACGTTACATTGACGCTGGAATAGAATCTGGTTCTATTCCAGCGGAAAGCATGCGTCAAAAGGTCAAATCGCCCACGCTTTTGATTAAAAATTGACGGTACGCTGGCCTAATGTCATATTGTAAATCCGCCTTTACAGACCAGTTCTGGGACAACATACTTTTTAAAAAAGTATTCCAGCTTTGGCATAAGCTTGGCTTTGAATGAATCATCAAGAGGAACAGTTTCTATATAAAAACCAGCTGTTGTCCAGCACACAAAATCGCACTGACTTTGATGGCTAAGGTATAATTGCCCTTGCACATGAGTATAGTATTCATGATCTCGTGACAACTGTAAGTCATTCTGATCATTGTACTGAAGAAAGAACTTTGAATCAACAATGTTCTCTGGCTTTGAATTCCAATGTTTATATGGACACTTTATCACTAGTAAATGAACTCCACAACAAGAACAGGATGCCAACCCATCTGGGCTTGCCCCATGATATGGATATTTAGGATCAATGATGAGACCACAACTTGAAACTTTCAAGTCTTCAAGTGTCTTCATCATTTCTCTAGTATATTGCTCTATTGCAGTGACTTCCTTCTCTCTGCCCCACTTTAAAGATGGAACATTTTCAGATATCTTGTAATACTGTATTATACTTTTTATTATTGATAATGGGTAACGTCGTCCAGTATAATTCAATACCTTGTGCATGTTGGAAGCAGTTATTTGTCCAGCCCTATGATCATACCACAGCTTAGATAACGACTGTTCCATGGTCTCTAAATATAATTTATAGCTGCTGACTGGGTCACCTTTATGGAATTAAATAAATCTTGTGATATGTGCTCCTTCAACATAGATGGATTGTATAAAGAAGAAAGGAGAGGCAGGTCAACATTTGTGGATTTTTGTGACGAGTCTTGTGCTACCATAAATATGGAATTTGGGTATGAAACAGCAGTTGTTGGTGGTTCAGTTGATTCAGGACTTGACTCATGGGAATCAAATGATTGTGCCTGTTCAACAGTGTCACATACAACTGGCTGCACAAAACCTGGAACTACAGTGAATATTGCAGCAGAAGGAAGAACAGAATGTATCTGTCGTAAAAGAAATTGTCTGCATAAATTTGTTGGAGGAATAGCATCACCAGCCGATGATTTATTACTTCTTTTATTTTGGCTGGATATAGTCTCACTTCTTTTCCTTCTCTTAAATGGGTTGTAGAACTCAATGTCACTGATGGGAGATGGTGAAACCTAAAAAATAAAAAAAACAAATAAAAATTCTTCAAATACATTTAAAACTAAGATATTAATGATTTTACTTTCTTAGAAAAAGCCTGATTATATAAACATGGCTGAGACGTACACGTCTGTTTTGCTATCTCAAGTCTGTTACATGCTTCAACTTTAAATAGGGCGGCTGCAACGTGAGAGCAAGTTTCACCACACCTATACATGTAAAAACATAATATTTTGTAAATGTACTGCAAATATTAGCTTACCCTGCCATACATGTACAATGGACAGTAATGATCTCTCCTGAAACACAGTTGACAGCAGTCCATGCATTGTGTGGTTTATCGTTCAATCGTTGTGATGGGTTCACCTTACTCTTCAATAAACACACAGTAGGGTTGCTACTTATACAATAATAGTATACAGTGTGAACCCATCCACTATAAAAAATTAACAAAACCATTACAGCTCACTATTTCAATAATCATAACCATACTTTATGTAATAATTATAGGCATTCAAGCTTTTGTAGGCCTTTAAGCTCTCCTTGGTGTACACACAAACATTATCAAATTAAAAAGTATATATGGATCCAAAATCCACAGGTGGCCACTTGCTGATGTCATCTTCCCAGGCACTTGCATCAATCAGAAAGGGATCACAGTGCCTGGAGTAACTTTCATTGAATATATCTTCCACTTTTTCTATGTATCTTCTTCGATCAGGACTGGAAAGAGTGGTTAAACGGTCAGCCTCCATACCTTGACACAATGTCTATACCTCCACAATGGCGGTTTGGAGGTGTGGTACTTATTGGGGCGAGCAAAAGCGAGCCCCACATAGTCAAGTCGAGTATGTCTGTCTGTTTGTACACGTACGTCACCCCTATTTATGCGTGTATAAAAAATAATAATCAAACATTTTTAAAATGATAATTTTGGTAATTACGGTACCATGTGCAAAAACAAAGAGCAACTTCAGTAATCACTGGACGAGAAGAGTTCAAGAGTATTCAAAAAAAAAGAGAAGCTGAAGCTTAAAGCATCAGTAATTCACAAGAAGATGCTCGTGAAGCTCGTCAACTTCTTCGTAACGAACGTGAGAAAGAGCAAGACTGAGGAGGAGAAAAGAGCAAGGAATGAGGTCCAAATGCTAGAGATAGGTCTTGTCGCACCCAAAGATAACAAATGGAGTCTCCTTCTGGCTTCTGAGACCAACTATCTTCCATCCTAGATCTATATAACTGCAGAAATTTTTCACTCAAAGCTAGAAGCTATGAAATTCCTTCCATGCAAATTTTGCATTAGTGTCACTATATCATTACATCAACATTCAACATTTAATACCCACTACATCATTGTCTATATAGACATTGTATATTGCTAATCGAAATGTTAATCGTTTTGCTCGCCCGTTAATGTTTTACATTCACCTAGTTAATTAATTATAATGATCTACGATACTCTCATGAATAAATTAGCACGAATTGGTCTATTGAGGAATTTGTGTCATCTTCCAGACAAAAAATGGCAGCAGATACAGGAAGTGCGTCATTAGCAAGCCAAAATTTAAGGGATGGAATACTGAGAGATCATACGAACGTGCAAAGCCGTATTATACTATATCCCAGTTGAGTTTGGGACAACAAAAACTGGAATAACTTTTTATAAGAAAGTGAGATAAGGATGAAACTTCACAGGTTCTTAGTCACCAAAGTCCATCAAAATCTGTGAAACCTTGGGTCTCTCAACCACTGGGAACCCTGAAAACCGGGTTCTCCCTATAAACCCAATGGCATACCAAAGCTAACCGCCATGACGTTTCATGATGTCATAGTTTACATAAGCACATGTGGTCGAGTGCCCAAACTAATAATTCTTCTAAAAGGCTAATAGAGCAAGATTATCTGATAATGATGGCCTTTATGAAAACTAGTTGACTCCAGCAGCTATTATATTTCAGAAGGCTCAGTCTCACACATCAACTGGGTTTGGCCAGTTTTCTTAACTCATAGCTAATTTGAAGTTTATAACCAAAGTTTTATAAGCAAGGTTTTATAACTCTTGTACCGCCCATCCGCCCACTTGCCTCATGTCTATATAATCCCATGCACTTGCTATTTCCAGTCGGCCTTTTTCTTAGCTCGCCACGTGCTAGCAGTCATCAGAGAAAGACCACACTAAGGATGTC